CAATTAAACCGGACTCTGGCAGAGATGAAAGCCCAGGAGGTGGCAGAATTAAAGAGGTGATGTATTCGGCCTAGTGGTAGAGCCGTGGGTTAGGATATCATCCCACACTGAAGTGCACGGGTTTCACGCCTGGCTTGGCTCCAGCTTCCTGCTAATGAATACCCAGTGATGGTCAAGGTCTCCCATGTGGGAGACCTGGGTGGAGTCTTGGCTGTTACGGGCGTCTGAGGAGTTGAACCAGTGGATTGGGAGGTCTAAGAAAAATCTAAGAAATGGTGTGGGGAGGGGCCGGGGGAGCCCCATTGCAGAATTGCAGAGTGTGAAGGTGGGAGGAGGACAGACATGGAAAGGGAGTTTTCAGCGCTGGGCAGGTGTAACCCCTTAACCTATCCCTTCAGAAAGAAAAAGAAGCTGCTGCGTGAGCAGAGAAAGCAGCGGGAGCGCGTGGAGCTGAAGATGGATCTGCCTGGGGTCTCCATTGCAGATGAGGGGGAGACTGGCATGTTCTCACTGCGTACCATCCGGGGCCACCAGGTGAGCAGGGGCTCGGGACAGACTGAGGAGACTGAAGGTGGAGGGACCAATGTCTTCTGTGCTGAGTGATGCTGGGCTTCAGGTGCCTACTTCACCCACTAAATCACTTGGTGAGGGGCTTACTGGGGTACAAAACAGTAACTCAAAGGCCAAAGCAAACATACACCTAAAATGATGAAATCTGGGTTTATGAGTGTGATGCGGATTGATTCTCCTGGAGCTGGAATATTAGGACCAACAGTTGTGGTTATAATACAGGGAACCAGGGCACCTGGGTTATAAGCACAAGTAGAGAGGATTTCTAAGACCAAGTTAGCCTTGCATTGGGCTGCCGCATGCTACTCTGTTCCTCCTAGAGAACATCTTTTCTCATAAAATGAGTCATGAAAAAGAGAGCTTTTCTGGCTCTTATGTGGGAATGTCTTAACCAAGTCACCTTTCCCCTAGAGGCCCTAGAGAGACGCAGGCTAGGTTCTTGCAGGCTCGCTTCTCGTCCCAGCTCCATTAGGCAGTAGTCAGGCATACAGCCCCTATCTTTGTCAGTACCTACAGTGGCCATACAAATGAAAGCTATCTTTGCCATGAGGAAAATACATTTTGAGGTTATTCTAAGTTGATTTTTTTAAAAGATTTATTTATTTGAAAGAATTACACAGAGTAGGAGAGGCAGAGAGAGGTCTTCCATCCGCTGGCTGGTTCACTCCCCAGTTGGCTGCAGCAGCTGGAGCTGAGCCGATCCAAAGCCAGGAGCTTCTTCCCCGTCTTCCAAGCACCTGGGCCATGTTCTACTGCTTTCCCAGGTCATAGCAGAGAGCTGCATCAGAAGTGCAGCAGTCTGGACTCAAACTGGCGCCCATATGGGATGCCGGCATTGCAGGTGGTGACTTTACCCACTACATCACAGCACTGGCTCCTCTAAGTTGATCTACGTGAAACATTTCTGTTAGATCTATGTTACCTACCCACCTTTATTTGGTAGAGAATCAAGACGCATATATGAGATTTTTCCCAGGAGGTGACAGAGGTGCCTTCTGAGAGTAATTTTAAAGGAAAGCTGGGGAGTAGACATTTAACCTGGAGACTAAGGCATCCAGCCCCACATCGGAGTGCCTGGACCTGACTCTGGCTCTGGTTTCTGTCTCCAATCTCCTGCCAATACAGACCCTGGGAGGCGTGGTGATGACTCAGGTAATTGGGTTCTTGTCATCATATGGGAGAACTGAGTTGAATTCCCTGCTTTGACCCTGGTGCAGCTCACTGTAAGCATTTGGGGAGTGAACCAGTGGATGAGAGTTCTCTCTGCCTCTCAAGTGAAATAAATAATTTTTTTAGAGATTATTTTATTTTTTTGAGAGGTAGTGTTCCAGACAGAGAAGAGGGAGAGGGAAAGGTCTTGCATCCTCTGGGCCACTCCACAAATGGCTGCAACGGCTGAAGCTGAGCCGATCCAAAGCCAGGAGCCAGGAGCTTCTTCCAAGTCTCCCACGTGGGTGCAGGCACCCAAGCACTTCGACCATCTTCCACTGCTCTCCCAGGCCATAGCAGGGAGCTGGAACAGAAGAGGAGCCAGCTGCAGGTGGAGGATTATTTTAAATAATCTTTAAAAACAAAGGAACACCAGGCTGGCGCTGCGGCTCAATAGGCTATTCCTCTGCCTTGCGGCGCCGGCACACTGGGTTCTAGTCCCGGTCAGGGCGCTGGATTCTGTCCCGGTTGCCCCTCTTCCAGGCCAGCTCTCTGCTATGGCCCGGGAAGGCAGTGGAGGATGGCCCAAGTGCTTGGGCCCTGCACCCGCATGGGAGACCAGAAGCACCTGGCTCCTGCCATCGGATCAGTGTGGTGCACCGGCCGCAGCGGCCATTGGAGGGTGAACCAACAGTAAAGGAAGACCTTTGTGTCTCTTTCTCTCTCACTGTCCACTCTGCCTGTCAAAAAAAAAAAAAAAAAAAAAAAGGAACACCAATGTTTTAGAACATTTTAAGATTTGCTGCTATGTGGGCCATGGTGTGGGCCATGGGGGTACTTTCCCAGTAACACTTCCTTGTGCTACCACTGACGATAAGACAACTGAATGAGACAGGTTAGTACCTTGGAATGGATCTGCCACGGTGTTGATTACAACTAAGACATGAGCATGAGAAAGAAGCACCCTGTTCCTTTAAAACACTTGACCTCTTCGTTGAATTTCAGTTGTTAGAGGAAGTAACACAAGGGGATATGAGCACTGCAGACACATTTCTGTCCGATCTGCCACGGGATGACATCTATGTGTCGGAAGAGGAGGAGGAGGAGGAGGATGCGTCTCTGGACAGTGACCTGGATCCAGAGGAGCTGGCAGGAGTCAGGGGACCTCCGGGTCTGAAGGAACAGAAGCGGTAAGAGTGTGAGAGCCACCCTCACCCAGAGTCCGGGTGCAGGCAGGGTGGGGCCTGCCAGCACTCAGGATCCCTGAGTCTCCCTTTGGGTCTACAGTGTGCAGTTTGCTGAAGTAGAAGATGATAAAGAAGAGGAAGGGGAGAATCCACTGCTGGTGTCACTGGAAGAAAAGACAGTACTGCAGGAAGAACAGGCTAACCTGTGGTTCTCAAAGGTGAGGTGCTGAGGCCAAGACTCATAGGAAGTTGGGATTCCCGGGAGAGATGGCTAAGTGTCCCCTACCGCAGGACGGCTTCAGTGGGATCGAGGACGATGCAGATGAGGCCCTGGAGATCGGGCAGGCTCAGCTGTTAAACGAGAGCCGTCGGAAGGCGCAGCAGCAGCCAGCGCCGCCACCAGCACCTTCCAGTCTGAAGAGTCAGAGACAGTCTCGGTGCCGGGAAGAGGCCTCTGAAGTGAGGACGGCTCCTCTGGAGACAGACGCTGCCCCTGGCCCTGGTGGGGGAGATGACAGCTCAGACAGTGACAGCAGTAGCAGTGAGGATGAAGGGAGGTGAGTGGTGCAGCTGGATGGGGAAGAGGCAGCAGTGGTTTGGACACTCCGTTCTCTAAGATTCTGCTTTAATCAGCCTGGGCACAGCCTGGATGGCATGGTTTCTGTAGGTTCCCTAAGTGGTCTTTAGAAGCAGGGTTGAGGTCAGCTGGGCGTGTAGTGTGGGCAACAGTAGAATTCACTTAGTCTCTCCCCACCACAGTTGGGAACCATCCCGTGGTAAGAAGCGACGCCGGGGGCCGAAGTCAGATGATGCTGGGTTCGAGGTGGTGCCTATCGAGGACCCAGGTGAGAGCTCAGTACAGATGAGAGGAAGCCAGTGAAGTGTCAGCGCTGGAAATCAAGCTCTGACTTTCCTCTCTCCCTGTCTAGCGAAACGTCGGATACTGGACCCTGAAGGCCTGGCTCTAGGTGCTGTGATAGCCTCTTCTAAAAAGGCCAAGCGAGACCTCATAGATAACTCCTTCAACCGGTAACGGGGCCAGACAGTCAAGCGGCTAAGTGGGTGGTTTCTTTTAAAACACGGGGAGTGGCTGGTGTTAAGACTGGTGCCCTCTCACGCCCAGGTATACCTTCAATGAGGATGAAGAGGAACTTCCAGAGTGGTTTGTGCAGGAGGAAAAACAGCACCGGATCCGGCAGTTGCCTATTGACAAGAAGGACGTGGAGCATTACCGGAAACGCTGGAAGGAAATCAATGCACGTCCCATCAAGAAAGTGGCTGAGGCCAAGGCTAGAAAGAAACGGAGGGTAAGTGGTGGGGGCCGGCTGAGGTGAGAGCTGGGTGGAGCAGGGAGGAGGAAGAGGTTACCTGACTGAAATACATTCCCAGATGCTGAAGAAGCTGGAGCAGACCAAGAAGAAGGCAGAAGCTGTGGTGAACACCGTGGACATCTCAGAGCGCGAGAAAGTGGCACAGCTGCGAAGGTAATTGGGGGAGGGCACCCCAAGGGCATAGGTTTAAAAAGGGTGGCAAGAGAGCCTCTAACCTGTCGTCTTCTCTTTGTAGTCTCTACAAGAAGGCAGGGCTTGGCAAGGAGAAACGCCAAGTCACCTATGTTGTAGCCAAAAAAGGTGTGGGCCGCAAGGTGCGGCGGCCAGCTGGAGTCAGAGGCCACTTCAAAGTGGTGGACTCAAGGATGAAGAAGGACCAGAGAGCACAGCAGCGCAAGGAACAGAGGAAAAAACACAAACGGAAGTGAGCACAGGCCCAGCCTGAGGACCGGAACAGACTGGAGTGGCTCCCTGTCTCCTTGCTGCCAGCTGTGCGCACACTTGCATCGCAGCCGTCTGGAGACACTGGGGTGGTTGCCTAGAGCTGGGCAGGGAGGACAATGACGGGGTGCTGGATAAAACTCTCAGAACTTGCTGATATCCTGAGGTGGTCTCCCAGTCTTCCCCTGTCCTGCCCCATGAGCTGAATAAAGCCAAGGAGAGATGAAGCGTCTTCCCAGGCTGCTCCCTCCCACTTTGCTGCACTGTTCTGTCTCCATGTGCTGACTCACTGTGAAGTAGAAATGACAACAATCCACAGGTCTCAGTAGTAAAACATTTACTAGAGAGCAAGCAGAGGAATGCACATCTTAAAGAAACCTTCACAAAGTCACAAAATCTGAAGTTTGTGTATTTTTCCTTTTATAAACAAGATAGAACAAAAATCATCAAAATCATTTCAGCAAAAGACTTCTCTACCACTGGGGCAAGTTTAAAAAACAAAACAATGAAATAGAAGACACTTTAAAAGCCATTGTTGGGTTTCATTTTAAATGTAGCAACATCTCAGGCCTGGAGCAATCCCTTGCTGCACAGTGGCTCTGGGGCTCCTCCAGGCCGAGGTCTTGCAGGCTGCACCTTCTGCATGTCTCAGAGCTGGCTGGGAACACGAGCACCCACAGTTGTTCAGAATCCCACTTCTCCCTTCAGCAACTCAACTGGATTTGCAGAAGCCAACTCCTAAAAGGGATTGCCTGGCCATACAGCTAAGAAAAGGTTTGATTTTTATGATGTTTATAAGGTGACATTTTAGTAAAAAATATAAGCTACATATAATATAAACCTAGAGTGAGTTTTGTGCCCTATATAAGGCCCTTTCTCCCAAGGTATCCTCCATTTACCCTCATGACAACTCACCCAAAACCCAAAGAAATTTCCCAGCTTGCTCTCACTGCATCCAGGGACCAAAGCAGCTTCCCACAGAAACATCTGAAAAAATGACTCAGATGAAGGGACAGTCGCCAAACTCCAGCTCTCCACTAAGGGCAGGGGGTCCTCATACTTTGGACCCCGACCCAGCCCTGAGACACCTAGTTTCCAAAATCTTTCTAAAAATAAAATTAAAGACAACTGATTCACACTTTTGTGCACACCCTCTAACTGTCCCACCGACTTTTCTTGCGTTTAGGTGGCTCCGGGACAGCAAAACCATCAGCTGTCTTATCTGTCTTGCTGTCTGTCTTGTCCGTCTTGTCTGTCTTGTCCGTCTTGTCCACCTTGTCCAGCTTGCTGCTGTCCACTTTGGGGTCCATCTTGGTCTCACGATTACAACCTTCTTTCCTGCTTTCCCCATTCCGACCATCACTTGCACTCCGGTTCTCCCCGTGCCGGCCTGCACTTCCTCCATGCCTGTTTTCCCCATGCCGATGGCCATCAGTATGACGACTGCTGCTTTCTGTGTAGCGGTATCCATCTCCATGGCGACCACCATCTCCATGACGAAGGCTATCACCATGCCGATTGCTGCTTTCTCCATGGCTATGACGGCTGCCACCCCAGTTCTCAGCATATCTCTCTCTCTTCCCATTGCCACCCCCAATCCCTTCTCGGCTGTTACTTCCTGAAGCAGTGCTGTTGACTCCCTGGGCTCCAGCAGAAGGGTAGGTCACCGGGGCACTGCTGACGTTCCCACTGTTGCCAAAGCTTGGGATACCCTTGGTGGTGTTGGGGCTGGGGCTGTCAGGATTGTTATGGCCCTGCTGTGCTGAATTACTGGGAACAGAATTCAAGCTCCCTGCACTGGTCCATCCACTTGCCCCAGCAGCAGAGCTTCCAGCCTTCTGGTTGTTTAAGCTGGCTGCAACAAAGTGACTCTTGTACTGTGACTGAAAGAGAAAGACCAGGAATGGGTGTGACAGCAAGTCCAAGAAAACTGAGTCTATAAGCTTCACAAATGCACATAGACACTATACTGGCAAAGTGACTAGGTTATCCTGATGGCCCCACAGCACAGCTCAATGTCGCAAAATTTCCTTCTACCACCTGACTGGTAGAACAAAGCATCTATGTACATAGCAGCTCAACACTTATAGTCTACAATCTGTTTACAATACAAAAATCTAAACACTGAAAACAAAAAACCTTTCAGTTTGACAGCAGAACCAGAAACGAACAGGCTATTTAGTTTCTATCTACTCAGCTTAGTGTAACTGAATGTACTGGGCGTCAGAAGTTTGCTCAGATAGGGCCCAGCTCCATACCTTGATGGGGTGTAAATATATGAATTCTGTTATCACATTACCTTTCTCCAATCTGAAAAACAGATCCTGAAGTCTAAGCCAGGATTTCTGTGTTCCTCTACTAAAGATATAGGAAAAAGTCTTGAGGCCAAACTGAAACCATCAGTCTGGAGACAGATAAAATGTATACATTAAGGGCCGGCGCCGCGGCTCAATAGGCTAATCCTCCACCTAGCAGCGCCAGCACACGGGGTTCTAGTCCCGGTCGGGGCGCCGGATTCTGTCCCAGTTGCCCCTCTTCCAGGCCAGCTCTCTGCTGTGGCCCGGGAAGACAGTGGAAGATGGCCCAAGTGCTAGGGCCCTGCACCCCATGGGAGACCAGGAGAAGCACCTGGCTCCAGGCTTCGGATCAGCGCGGTGCGCTGGCCGCAGCGCGCCAGCCATGGCGGCCATTGGAGGGTGAACCAACGGCAAAAGGAAGACCTTTCTGTCTGTCTGTCTGTCTCACTATCCACTCTGCCTGTCAAAAAAAAAAAAAAAAAGTATACATTAAGGCCCAGGTAGATAACTGGATGCCAGCTAGCGACCAGAATGGAAGGTGTTCATGAAAAATAGGTTCAGAGTTCACAAGATAACTGAATCAAACCTGTCTTAGCCAAAAAATGGCAATTACTCTCAACCAGTTCTGTGACAGTTCTGGAGGTGGGCAACACCACAGGCTGTTGAGACAGGGAAGGAAATGGCCCTGGGCTCTAGGTGTGACTGCAGCAGGTATCAACCAGAACAAGGGGTTTTTGTTGCTCTCTACCTGCAGCTCTGGATAAACTACTAAGTTTGTACTTGAAACGCAAGAAAGAGAAGGGCTGAAATCTAGTATCAAGCTTACAAGCCTAGTCACCATCTCTGAAGACAAGGGCACCCTCATCCACTGCCCAGGAGCTAATGCTAAAGGTTTTTGTTTTTTTTTTTTAAACAAAACAAAAGGCTTGTCTCAGACCTGGAAAGCTGCTTTCATTGCTGTCAGCCGATCTCCCATAGCTCCCGTGGAGGGTTTATAGGCCTCATAATTGCTCATTACATTGTTGTTATTTCCTCGGTCCTAAAAAACAAACATAGACAGCTGTGAGAACTGAAAATGAGTGGGCCTCATTATACTGAAAACTGAAGAGGGAGCTGTAGTGGCAACTGGGTGACTTAGAAAGTTACTTATGCTCTGTGAGGAAAGGTACAGTAATAAAGAATCTTTTAAAAATGTTTATGCCCTTCAACCCTGTAATACTTGTCCTGGGATTTAACCCTAAGAATCAGAAATGCAGTCAGAGTATGCCCAAAGTTGACCATGTATTATCTGCATACAAGTACATGTATATACATGAACGCATGAAACTGTGTTAAAGCTGAAAAGTCCATGAACACAGCATATTATTATGTGATGGCTCAAGTTCTGAATGAAGATCACTGAGGACCTGAAATCTCTACTTCAACACTTACTAATCTGTAACCTGAGGTGTCTCAGTTTTGTTAAGTACAGTTACTTACACTGGGCTGCTGTAAAGACTGAGTTAATACTTGGAATGACTCTGGCACAGATAATGTGATCAATAAATACTAACTACTGCTATCATCTGCATCATCGTCACTATAATATGGGAACAGAATATTTATCAAAGATGCCAAGCTAACTAACATGCTAGCGAAATGTACTGACAGCTTGCTTCCCTAGCTCAAAATGACAGAAAACTGGCAGTTAAGCCGGTGAGGGGGATGACCTGAACGTGGTTTATGAGAAAAACTAGCTGTCACCTCTGCCTGATGCAATTTCCCTGACTGTAAGGATCATTCTTGAGTTTAGTGGCATGGCTAGAATTTACAGTAACCCTCTGGCAATGTTTCCCTAACAGGATCTAGGCCAGTGTTGAGAAAAACACTTGTGAAAAACAGACTACTGGGCCCCATCTCCAGAGATTCTGATTCACAAGTCTGGGGTGGAGGACCAGTCTGAATGTGCTGGTGGTCTAGGGAACACAGTTTGAGAACCTCTGCTAACCTAAGACTAGTTTCCTGAGTACATCTGATGTAAGCACACAAATATATCTTCAATAGAAAGTTGCATTAAGAACCAGCACAGCACTAAAACTCAAATAAACAGATCCAATATAAGCTCCCTTCTAGTCAGAGTTTTGAATTCAGTGAGGTCTTCAATAGATCAGAATAACCCTAACATCATTCAGGACCCAAGACCAAACCTAAGAACCTCACAGCTGTCTGAACTCACCGAGTTCTCAGAGCCCAGGCCAGGCCGCTCCCTATAGCCTAGGCCGCCTCCGCCAATGTTGAGCTTTTTGCCTTTCCCTCCTTTGAAGCGTGATTTCCGAAACCAGGCATTCTGCATTGAACAAAATTCAACGTTAAGCCAGGGAAGGGGGAGAAGGCAAGAGGAAGAGGACAAGGTCAAAGAAGAAATTAAATGGAAAGAACTTTTTGCTTCATCTTTAGCTGATGTTTTTATGGCAAGTGAAGTACTGTTCACAAGAACCATAAAATGGCTTCTTTTTGGCAGTTTAATGCATGACATTTGTCAAATATCTAAATCCTTATCTAAGGCTTCATTTACTTTTTCCCTTCAAGCTCTCCTGGAAAGGAAATGACTAGACATACTCCTTTGGCCACTTCTACCTTGAGGCAAATGAATTTATTCTTTGATTCTCAAACAACCTCATATACCACTGAACAAAAAAATCTGGAGCTTAAGTTTTAAGAACTTGTGGGTTCAGAAGTGAAAGAAAACAAAAAGCATGTGGAGAGAAGCCTTTTACAACGACTCCAGGGGCAGACTCCCAGAAAGGATGGGGAGCTAAACTGAAAAGTTGATTTCCCCACAGAGCCTACAAGTATTCACTGAACTTGGCCACCACCACAGTACTACTCACCAGATTTATTCACATTCTCTTAAGAATGCAAACATCTCTAGGGAGGTTAAAACTTTATCTGACAATCACATACAGGAGGCCTTCAAAAAGTTCATGGAAAATGCCTATCACAAAGACTACACATGGTTGGCTGGGGTTGTGGCATGGTAAGTGAAGCCACTGCCTTCGACAATGGCATCGCATATGGGTGCCAGTAAAAGTCCCAGCTGCTCCACTTCTGATCCAGCTCCCTGCTAATGCACCTGGGAAAGCAGTGGAGAATGGCTCAAGTGCTTGGGCCCCTGTACCCATGTGGGAGACTGGGAAGTTCCTGGCTTGAGTGGCCCAGCTCTGGCCATTGCAGCCATTTGGGGAGTGAACCAGTGGATGGAAGATCTCTCTTTCAATCTGTACCTTTGCCTTTCACATGAATAAATAAATCTTTAAAAAAAAATTATACCTGGATTGCAAATTTTTTTTACACCAGAACAAACTTATTTTTAAGTTCCATCTTTCCATGAATTAAAGTACATGAGAAGTAAGGCAGGCTTGGGCAAAGACCCAAGCAGAAGGCCTGAGGCACAAAAAGAGAGCTAAGAAAATGCCTAAGACAGGGAGCAGCATGGTGGTGCAGCGCCTGCATCCCATATGAGAGCCAGTTCAAGTCCTGGCTGCGCCAACCCCCCGACTTTTTTCTTTTTTAAGATTTATTTATTTATTTCAAAGTCAGAGTTTGAGAAAGGAAGAGACAGAGAGAGCTTTCATCCACTGGTTCACTCCTCAAATGGCCATAATGGCCAGGACTGGGCCAGGCTGAAGCAAGGAGCCAAGAGCTTCCTCCAGGTCTCCCATATGGGTGGCAAGGACCCAAGAACTTGGGCCATCTTCTGCTGTTTTTCCAAGGCTATCAGCAGGGAGCTGGATTGGGAAGTGGAGCAGTCAGGACACAAATCAGTACCCATATGGGTACAGTATTGTAGGCGGCAGCTTTACCTAATGTGCCACAACACCAGTCCCCTGGCTGCTGCGCTCCTGATCCAGCTTTCGGCTAATGTACCTGGGAAACCAGTGGAAGATGGTCCAAGTGCTTGTGCCCCTATTACCCATATGAAAGATCCAGGTAGAGTTCTAGGCTCCTGACTTTGGTCAATGTACCAGCCCTGACCATTGTTGCCATTTGAAGAGTGAACTAGTGGGTGGAAGATCTGTCTCTTTTTGCCTGTCAAATAAATAAATCTTAAAAAAAGAAAATGCCCAAGACAAAAGGTTGAAAACTATTAGTTGAGGACTGAGTCTCTAAAGCCAGGAAAGGAAATGGAAGCATTATTCTCTTTGCCCCTCCTATACTGCAGTTATTTCCTCCTAAGATCAGAGATGAGCAGCACCACACCGCAACTGTGCTATCAGCTACAACTCTGCTATCAACTGGGAAGGTTGGCTTATGAATTTAACAAACACCAAACCCATCTGTGATCGGGGATTTTGTGTATTAGGAAAATTCAGTTTGATTAGGTAGAATGCCTCACTCAGTTCTGGATAGCACATCTGAAAGACAATCATTAACTGCAATGAAAGGCTAAAAGGTACTACAAATTTTTTTTTTTTTTTTTTTTTTTTTGACAGGCAGAGATAGACAGTGAGAGAGAGACAGAGAGAAAGGTCTTCCTTCCGTTGGTTCACCCCCCATATGGCTGCTACAGCCGGCGTGCTGCGCTGATCCAAAGCCAGGAGCCAGGTGCTTCCTCCTGGTCTCCCATGCAGGTGCAGGGCCCAAGGACTTGGGCCATCCTCCACTGCCATCCCAGGCCATAGCAGAGAGCTGGACTGGAAGAGGAGCAAACGGACAGAACCAGCACCCCAACTGGGACTAGAACCTGGGGTTCCGGCACCGCAGGCAGAGGATTAGCCAAGTGAGCTGCGGCGCCGGCCCAAATTGTGTTCTTAAAAACATCACACAGATGGGGCCAGCACCATGGTGCAGGTTAATCCTCCACCTGCGGCACCGGAATTGGTGCTGATTCTATTCCTGGCTGCCCCTCTTCCAATCCAGCTCTCTGCTGTGGCCTGGGAAAGCAGTAGAAGATGGCCCAAGTGCTTGGGCCCCTGCACCTGCATGGGAGACCCGGAGGAAGCACCTGGCTCCTGATTTTGGATCGACACAGCTCCAGCCGTTGCTGCCATTTGGGGAGTGAACCAAAAGAAGGAAGATCTTTCTGTGTCTCCCTCTCACTGCCTGTAACTCTACCTGTCAAATAAATAAATAAAATCCTTTAAAAAAAAAAATCACACAGTTTTAGCCCCCTAAAACAAAAGAGCTGTAGGGAGAATAACAGCCATCTTTGAGATTAAATTTACTCATAAGTGTGCTATGGGGTAAGCAAGTAGAAACTTCAGGGACAGATCTTAGCATAAAGGACAGAACAGCTTTTCAACACTGGTGTTAGACTAGATGAATATCAATATCCCATAATTCCAATCTGTACCAAGCCTCACATCACTTTCTTACCAGGCTTCTGTTATCTGCTTTAGGCTAGCTGAAATCTCTTGCTAAGCTTTATAAGTCAAAGTGTTCCCAGACCCTCACCTGCATTGCCAGATCTAGGAGCTCCTTGGAAACATGTTGATTTGCTCCTTCCAAGTTTCGGACAAGGTCACCAGCAAAATTGCTGTCCTTGGGGGTCAGTAAGGTATAGGCCACACCCTTCTCACCCGCTCTTCCTGTGCGGCCAATCCTATGAGTATGGGTATCAATGTCTCGTGCCACGTCATAGTTAATGACAGTCTTAATTGAAGGAATGTCCAGACCCCGGGCTGAAATAAAAAGCAAACAAATTTTCTTCTATCCATCTGGAGTCAATAGAGCAAAGTAAACAGAGACACAAGCATTCCAAGAACATACATTTCCTTATTTAGTTGATCAAAGTGCACAAGTTTGCTGGGCTGAGATACAGGCACACATGTTACTCCCTTAGAACAAAAGTTACCACCATCGACTTGATGATGCTAGGCCTTCTAGTATAGTCTTGTATAGTAAGAAAGAAGTCCCTTACAAGCATTGAGACCAACGGTTACTGAAAACTCACACTCTACCTGCAACATCTGTGGCCACCAGAACTGGAATATCCTTTTTCTTAAAGTCTGAAATCACTTTGTTTCTTTCACTCTGATCCATGTCCCCATGGAGCAATCCAAGATTATGACCCTCTTGCTTAAGGTTATTGGCTAGCTCTTCAGCATTAGCTTTTTTAGTAACAAACAGGAGGACACTCCCTGAGGAGGTAAACTCCACCAGTCGCCGGGTGAGCCAATTCCATTTACTAGGCCCAGAATGGAGAATTTCCACAATCTGTGTCACATCTTCATTTGCCTGAGAGGAAAGAAACAAATGACTGTGACAGGGTTGCCACAGGGCACCTAAACAAGGACTAGGCCTTATATTTTCTACCTGCATGTAGAATTATTATGAACTCCTATCTTCCTGGGACTTTCCCCCTGCAAGTATAGCTCACAACTTATCTATACTCAAACCATCTTGTTCTTCCCCTTCTACTGGCATGTACACATACCCACCTAATTTGCAGACCCCAACATTTTGTAAAAGTTTCTATATGACTATGATTACTTCTAATTAAATAAAATCCTTTTTGGTCCCTCCCACTCACTGCTCTTAGTACAATTCATTCTTACTCAAAGAAGACATTCAAAAGTGAAAATCAGACAATGTCAAACATTAACTATACAGGGACTTTAACAATAAACATGACAAGCAACTTAAGCTAAGCAGCTTTAATTGAATTCTAAAGCCCAATTAATAGAAATTTCCACACAGGGCATAGGTACAGCTAAGAAAATGAAACCTTCTTGCTAGGTTTTTCAGCTCCCTACTCTATCTTTTGCAGGCCTCCTTCTAAATCATTTAAAATATCAGTTCCATCCTAACTCACTGGTAGTCAGTCATCCAAACAGCCTTGTTTTTTAATTTTACAATAAAAAAATTTATAATGGAAATTTTCAAGCTTAAAAATGGTGGAATTAGCATAATCAATTCCTAAGTATCCACCATCCGGTTCCAATAACTGCCAACATTTTGCAAATCTTACTGCATCTATATGTGTATTTAAGTGCAAATCTGAAACAAGTTGCCTCATCTGTAAATATAACAAGATTTTAATGTTTTTTTTTATCAAGAGTGAGAAACTAATTCTATTTCTCCATAAGATGAGAAATAACCTACTGGGTGTAGTCCCTCCCAGCCCTGCTTAGGGTTACCTCTCCAATATCTCCCTGCACCACTCGAATAGGGTCGATCAAAATGTCTCTGGCCAATTTTTCAATCTTTTTCCGAAAAGTTGCACTGAATAAGAGAGCTAGAAGGAAAAATATTCTGTTAAACAAATAGTATGACTTCTTTATTGAACACCCATTAAGCTTCCTTGACATTCAAAATTATTCCCTTGTTCTCTTTAAACATAAACCCATCTAAACTTTAAAAATTGATTCACTAGAGAAAAAAATTGCCTTCATTTATTTTTATTACATTTTGAGTTAAGAAATTAGTTCATCACAAATCAGTCTATCTGTACCATGCATTAACTGTACCTACTGATAATTCTGTACAAATTGAGGCGGGCACTGTGGTATAGCAGGCTAAGTATCAGACCGTGGCACTGGCATCACATAGATGCTAGTTCTAGTCCTGGCTGCTCCACTTTCAAACCAGCCTCCTGCTGATGGCCTGAATGCTTGGGCCCCTGCACCTGCATGGGCCCTAAAGAAGCTTCTGTCTTCAGATCAACTCAGCTTTGGCTGTTGTGGCCATTTGGGGAGTGAACTACCAGATGGAAGATCTGTCTGTCTGCAACTCTGCCTCTCAAGTGAATAAATAAATCTTATTTTTACACTTTGTATAATTTATTTTTATAAAATTATACAGAATGAAAACTCATCTGTAGTGATCTAAAGCAGATTATTGGTTAAATGAATATAGGGTAAAGGAGTGTGAGGGATGACAAGGTACAAAAGAACTTGGAGTTGATAGTTATGTTCATTATATTGACTGTGGTCATGACTTGCAATAATAGCTGAATTTATACATCAAAAAGTAACATACTGTATGCTTTCTAGTTTTTGCCTTTAAAATTTTTTGTGACCAGCGCCGTGGCTCAATAGGCTAATCCTCCACCTGCGGCGCTGGCACACCGGGTTCTAGTCCCAGTCAGGGCACTGGGTTCTGTCCCAGTTGGCCCTCTTCCAGTCCAGCTCTCTGCTGTGGCCTGGCAGTGCAGTGGAGGATGGCCCAAGTCCTTGGGCCCTACACCCCGCATGGGAGACCAGGGGAAGCACCTGGCTCCTGGCTTCGGATCAGCGCAGTGCGCCATCTGCAGCAGCCATTGGAGGGTAAACCAACGGTAAAGGAAGACCTTTCTCACTGTCTCTCTCTCTCTCTCTGTCCACTCTGCCTGTCAAAAAAAATTTTTTTTTGTAAGTTATACAAGTTTCACATATCTTAAAAAAACTGTATAAATTGGGAATGAGGCATTCAATATATGAGACCTTATTTTATCACCTACAAAAATGAGTAAGTTATATCCAGTGATCTCTAAGGTCCTATCCAGTTTAGATACAGTCATTGTCTTTCTCTTTATGATTCTATTACACATATGACCATTTTTGTTTCCACAACTATATGAACCCTCATAAAATAAATAAGTATTCACTCTGAGTAAAATGTGTTTTTATAATAAAGTTGCTTCATACATACTCTGTCTGTCAGGACGGACATGACTTGCTATGGATCGAACCTGGTACTCTGGAAGTAGAATAGTAAAATTAACATTATTACTCTGTTAATAAAACAGCTTGAGAAGCTTGGAAAATGTCATTTTATTTAAAGATATTCACAAGAAGTTATAAAGAATTAAGGCAATTTTGAAACTCCTGGACACGTCACTTGAGTATGAAACTCAAAAACTTCCCTTCCTTCCCTCTGGCTTGGACCTGGCAGTATGTCTGTGAGTAATAATGGTTACTTTGAATTTTTACACAGTGGGGTAAATGTCAGAGGCCAGGGAAACAAGGCCTTCAATGATCTGACATTTACCTACCCAGGAACACATTATTAAAGGCACATAAGTAACAATGAAAGCATAGAGAAAATACTTCCTAAAGTACTTTCAAATTTCTTCAACTCAATCAAGTCTGCCATACTTTCCCTGAGAAAATTTCTAGTGTCTTAGCTGTATCTTTACAGTTTAACCCTAACCAGGAGTATTTTTAGTTTCTCTTATGCTAAAACAGCAGATTGGTTAAGTCTAGAAAGACAAGGAAAAGGGATTATCACAAGAACAAGGGCAGAAGATACTGGTATTCAAGTCATACCAAATCCCATGTCAAACATTCGATCTGCTTCATCAAACACAAGGTAAGAGACTCTTTGAAGATTGGTAGCTTTCTTCTTTACATGATCAATCAGTCGACCCTACAGGATCCATAAAGTGAACAGTAAGTATAATTAGAGGCATTTACAAGGACTTCCTTGTACATATACAAGGACTCCTGACAAAAGCACTAATTCTTCTGTCTTGGACTGTAACAGATACTGGTTCCACAGCCAGGCTTTATGTACCACCACTAGCACAGGAAAAAAGAAATTTTGAAAACTCAATTAGATTCTCCCCTTCTATTAATTGTGATTCAAATTCTGTGGGAGAGTGGTCAGCACCAAATTTCTGTGAGGCATTCTGATATGTCTTTAAAGCCTTACTGATGGATTTTAATGTTTAGCCCATACTCTTCTGGGAAGTTCTGACCATATACCAAATATCTAATTCTTGATGTTCTTGATAACTATGAATCTATTTCCCAGGTTAATATAAAAAGCTATTTGAAATAGAGAATTTGTAGGTACTAAAACAAAACCAGAGGCTGTCATTCATTAGGGTATTCTCAATCCTTCTTTACCATATTTTGGGGAAGATTCCCTCCAAACTAACCATGTTTTCCATACCAAGAGAGGCTGAGAAGCCATTGAAACACAAGACATACTTACTGGGGTGCACACAACAATCTCTGCCCCTTCCTGAAGGGCCTTGGCCTGTTCCCACATGCTCCCTCCTCCATACACGGCCACTGATCGAAGATTATATGCTTTCCCAAACCGCTTACATTCTGCATGGATCTACAAAGTTGTTAATAATGCATTAACCAACTGTGACATTAACAGATATCTCTATTATAACCCAAAAGGAGTTCTGAAAAAGACATCTGCTGTCATAGAAAACCAAAACCTAGAACATACTTTAAAATCACAATGTCAATAATAAAGGTATAACTGAACAGTACAGTACCATTAACACAGCTCATAGGCTATCTAAATTCTTGCCTTGATTATTCATTTTCTCACTTTTCTTCCTGATCTTTCCTTCTTTTCTACCAGGAAAAATGAATTCACCCTGGTAGAAACATTGTGAGCATATACAAATAATTCATGCATCATATTTTTTTCCTCTCAAAACAGTTTTATGGGAAATGTTTTGGTTATACAGAAAATATAATACGTACAATTAAAAAAAAATGTTCCTTGTAACACAATTAAATATGCTTAATGCCTGTACATTTTAAAATGGTCAATTCTGTGTGTATTTTATCATAATGAATTTTAACTAAAGTTTCCTGGCCATTCTACTCATGCCTGGCTAGTGCCCTGCAGTCCACACACAGGAGGGGGTATTCTATACAAAGCACATACCTGCTGGCAAAGCTCCCTAGTAGGACACACAATTACTGCAATTGGTCCATCACCTGGCTCCAATTCCTTCTGGTCCATTATATGAATCAGCATGGGCCATATAAATGCTGCAGTTTTCCCACTGCCTGTTTTGGCAATACCAATCATGTCTCTACCACTTAGTGCCACAGGCACTCCCTATATAAAAAATAAAGTAAATCCACTTCAAAATTTCAATCTTAAAGATGTATGGAAGGAAATTCTGGGGAAGCATAAAAGACTATTAATGACATTCATTTCCAATGGAACTAAATATCCTGGGAGACAAGACTAGCTGTGAAACAGAACTCCCTGGTATTCTCATAAATTTACAGGGAATAACATTCTCTAAATGTGGATCAGATACCATTTATAGAATGATACTACTTTGCTTGAAATACAGAAAATAAAAATTGTAGTTTATGATGGCAGTAATTGCTAAAACTGAAGAACATTCTTCCTTGGGAAGATAGAGAGTATCCCATATATGAGTGGCAAAGAGAAACTTTTACTTTCAGTAATAAATAAGAATTTTTAGAGGTCATGGGCAAAATAATTTCAGTCACTAACAGTACTAAATGTATCTGTCCACAAATCCTTTTAGTTAGGTTTAGGCCTAATAAATTATTTTCTTTATATTGTGTTTTCAAGGTATTTGTCAGATACCACAGAACATTCCCCAGCCACTTAGCAACTTCTTAAAGCACTAAATAATTCATATTTGTACTTTAGTATCTAAAGGTTTCAAAAATACTCTTGATTTCACGTATACATTTTTTTCTTAATTGAAGCAAAAATGGAAGATTAAGTCACAGGGGAAGCATGTGGAAATTTTCTATCCACACCATTGTAATTCTAGGCCAAATACTATCTTACTGCCTTTATTTGCATGTAAATTAAACAGTCATGGAATATCATTCTACTTCACTTTTATTACCTTCTACTTACCTGGCACTGTATTGGAGTGGGCTGGGTGTATTCAGATTTCCGAATCTGGTGCATAAGTTGTTCATCAAACCCAAAGTGAGCAAAACTACTTCCTGGTCTAGGAGGTGCAGCACCAGAGACCTAGAGATAGAGACAACTCCCAGGAATGACTTTTACTTCAATATAACACAGCAACTGAAGTTCAACAATACTTACCCAGATCTAGCATTTTAGCTTGTGCAGGAAGTAAAAATATAAATCTGTAGTCAAAAATGAAAAGCCAAAATCTTAAAATAACAAATATAAAACCATATATACCTCCATGAGAAATATTCCTGAGATAATTCTATCATTTGATTTCAAATGATTAAGTACCTACAAATATCTTAAATCAAAATTAATTTTCTCAAAACAAATAAAGATAAACTACTTAAAAAATTGGGAAAAGCCATTAATGTTCCTTTTTTTGCCATAAATATTAACTGGATGGCAAGAAAAAAAATAAAAACTCTTAAAACAAAAGTGCATTGAGCTCTGAATAAGACAAGTCTATACCATTGGTTACAGATTATGATCTATCACCTTCAATATCTGTTATTCCTAAAGAGTTAGGTCTTCCCTTAGTGATAGCCCAGTCACTGGCAAATACTGCTCCAACTGTGGCCAAGTGAATAGTGCTACTTAAAACTCCTACTTTGGCAGGCGCCGTGGCTCAATATGCTAATCCTCTGCCTGAGGCTCTGGCACCCCGGGTTCTAGTCCCGGTCAGGGCGCCGGATTCTGTCCCGGTTGCTCTTCTTCCAGTCCAGCTCTCTGCTGTGGCCCGGGAAGGCAGTGGAGGATGGCCCAAGTCCTTGGGCCCTGCACCTGCATGGGAGACCAGGAGAAGCACCTGGCTCCCGGCTTCGGATCAGCGCGGTGTGCTGGCCGCAGCGGCCATTGGAGGGTGAACCAATGGTAAAGGAAGACTTTTCTCTCTGTCTCTCTCTCTCTCACTGTCCACTCTGCCTGTCAAAAACAACAACAAAAAACAAAACAAACAAACAAAAAACCACACATACAAAACTCCTCTACTTTGTCTCCAATACTGGTTATCTTACAATGCTTCACCAATGAGGCTGATAATTACAATTAGTTGGGGGCAGGGGCCAAGGAGGTAGAGCAGATAACCTCTTGGAAAACAGACATGAGTGCATGTGCACATACACCACAAACCCAAACATCCTCTCAGGTCAAAAATCATGAAGTATAAGCTAAAAAGTTGTCCATATCCAAGGATACCAGTATACTATCTATGTGTACTTCATGGAACATCTAGCAGTATCCTAAACAATATGGCCAATGAGCAACACAAAACTTTTTGGTGGGCAATTGAAACTATTATTCTGAAATTAGTGCATGCGTATATTGAAAATGTGTTCACTTTTTTAAAAAAGTATACTGTATGGGGCCAGCGCTGTGGAGTAGTGGGTAAAGCTGCTGCCTAAAGTGCTGGCATCCCATATGGGTGCCAGTTCAAGTCTCGGCTGCCCCATTTCCGATCTAGCTCTCTGCTTTGGTCTGGGATAGCAGAAGATGGTCCAAGTCCTTGGGCCCCTGCACCCTGTGAGAGATCCGGAAGAAGCTCCTGGCTATTGGCCCGGCTCCAGCCGTTGTGGCCAACCAGCAGATGGAAGACCTCTCTCTGCCTCTTCTTCTCTGTAAATCTTTCAAATAAAATAAATAAATCTTAAAAAAAAAAGTATACTGTATATATTAGGGAAGCAAGTTAACTGATTTTGAACTATCTTAAGATTTCAGGGTTTTCCTCTTTGGAAGCCCCCCTTCACGCTGCTCTGGCTGGAGGCCTTTGATTCTAATAAATACCTTTTAAATCCCCAAAAGGAATACAAAATAAAATAAAAAAAAAAAAGATTCATGTATTGTTCACATCTATTAATCATTTCCTCTTCCTTAAGATGCCAAACTCCTACCCTTCTTCTTCACTGATCTACCCAGTACACAACATATAAAATTAATTGAACATATGAAAGAAATCATATTCTAAAATATCATCTGGAGGACTAAAAGAATTGAATCCAGACACATGAGCTCAAGGAATAAAATTATTACCCTATCTAAGACATTTCAAGAACCATTAAAAAAGAAATACTGTTAGTTGGGATAAGCAATTAAATCTGGGCTAATTCATATTAACATAAGAACACTTGATTTAATGACTGTCTTACCCGAAGATTGAGCTTATGCCGGAGATCTATTAACTGTTGTGGAGTGAGGTTGGTTATCTCTTCATGCTCATTGTAAAAATTTTTTTCAAATGGTGGATAGTCAATCTGCAGGTCCAATTATTCAAAGTTAGTCTAGAATTCAAGAGTCAATCTTGTAAGTTTGATTTTAATGCAAAATAACCTTTTACAAATATAATACAAGTAAAGCCATTCCAGCTAGAGAGAACAAAGGAACTCATTTATTCTTGAAACACATCTCAGAAAGTATAGCCAATACATTTCCCTATTCCTATTTTAATGCAAATGCCAACCTATTTTCCAAAGTGACTTTAAATTTGAACTTTGAAAAAGTCAAAGAATCTCTATAGTGCCAAAGGCCTCCTGGGACAAGCATTCTATATAAGGCATTTCATCCTATAGCACGTTTTAGATTAAGATGTTCATCTTACTTTAAGTATCTAAATATTTTTAATATTTCCTTTGGAAACAGCTCTGCCTTTAGAGGAAGTTGTATCCTTTTTTAAGCATATGAAACTGCTAATTCAGCCTTTAAAAAACTTACGGCTAAACAATTTCAATTCCAAAGAGAAAAGTAGTCATTTCTCTGCTCTTTTCCTAGCTTACTGTAGTAAGGATACAAAACAAGCATACCCATCATCTCATGAATGTGGCTAAACAATTTTCTTTTAAAAATCATGAAATATCTAATAAATTTATTTTTTGGGGGGAGTATAAACCAAATTTCATAATTTTGGATACTATCCAACTGCTGAGAATGGCACTGTTTCACATTTTTGCAAATCTCTAATTCTGACTTAGAAGAAAATAGCTCCTATTGCATTCAAATTGTTCTGATAGGTTGCTTTAACGTAAGCTCATGAAAAAAATCAGGCCTGCAAACTGTAGATGGATAAGTATTGGAATACCTTGTTTGATACTTGTGAACTTTTATTCTTCTCTGATACTATCTACACATTTCCTAGTGGTTATTTTCATTGTATACCCTGAAACCACATCATTGGACATTTTGCACTCTGTTCAAAGCTATAATTCATGGGTCTAACATGTATTTTTATGAAGCTTTTACTCAGGCATGATTCTGTAACATCATGCATTGGTCATTTGGAAAATAATGGTTCACTGAGGTAATATACAGATCATCCAAATGTTGATATAATACATAATTTTAAAGATCATGGTTTTATCACAGTGGTCTTCAAGTACTGAGAAGCTTTCAAGTTCACTGGATATGTTTTCCAAATTCTAATTTTTGCTTGAAAGATTGAATTTCTATCTCTGACAATACTTTGATTCTTTACCTTGAAATATCATTCATTTTCAAGTGAAAATAGTGTTCCATTAAAAAAAAAAAAGTATCAGCTAGTTCACCTTACAGTTCAAACATAAGTGCTTTTCCATTTTTTGGTATGCAACACAAATGCTTCATGTGTGCTTTCCATTTTTCTCACACAGAATAAAAGTCATATAACCCAAAGGATAAGATTTAAGACAGAATAACTTTTACTGTTTCATACAGAAGATCTAGTCTGACATTTAACCTGGATGGTAACTAGTGTTTTTTCAAGTGGGTACACTGTTATCCTCATTTCCATTTCCTGATTAAAGGAACATAATTCCTGGCTCCCCTTTGAAAAAACAGCTTCTCCTCTGCCCCAGATCTGGCAATAACAAAGGTTTAGAGCAATTGAAAACACAAATGCAGACACAAGGACCCATTTGAAGGAAAAAAAAAAAAAGGTAAGTATTGGCTCTAGAAAACAAGTATAATTGCTTGGAAGATTTTTTAAAATTCTGAACTTAAAAGTGAGCAAGTGATTCAGCTGTGGCTTGCAACAATACAGGCTGCAGGAGAGTCTCACAGAATTTCTAACTCAACCACTTAGCAGAGATGACACGATCCGAAAACATAAACACCCTCGTGACTCAGGAGCACTCAGATTTTAGAAAATGCTTCAACAGAAGAGAACTGCATCATCTTGAAGCAAGAATCAGATTTTGGGGCAAGCATTTGGTGCAGTGGTTAAGACACAACATAGCAACGCCTGTATTCCATACTGCAGTACCTGGGTTCAGGTCCCAGCTCTGCTGCAGATTCTAGCTTCCTTCTTATGCACACCTGGGAGGCAGCAGGTGATGGCTCAAGTACTTGGGGCTCTGCCACCCATGTGGGAAACCAGGACTGGGTTCTGGGATCCTGGCTTCAGGCTGGCCCAGGCCCATTTGTTTTGGGCATTTGGGGTATGAACCAGTGAATGGAAGACATCTATCTCTTGGCATTTTAAATAAAGTAAAAAATAATTAATTAAAAAATCAAGTTCAGTAAGAAATACCATACCTCTGAATGATCAATAGGAGGAAGAGGATCAATGATTTTCTTAGAAGGCGCAATTGGATTTCCATCACTATCATACTCCAAATTGTCTTCCTCCTCCTCTTGAACCACACCAGCAGTTGGGTTTTCTGCCATGTATCGAAAATAAGCTTCCTGCAGGAAAGCACAAGAACCTAATCACACTCAAGTACAACCGAGAACACGTCTGTTCCTGTAATGAGTGCACACAGAGTACAGATATCTATACAGTTTAAATACCTACCAAGTAAGGCAAGACTTGTACTAGCAATGATTCCTTTTATAACAGCAGTATTCTTAAGTTCAATCAGGAGAGATTAATGAGGCAGTTAGTACTACAAAATGATTTAACTTTTTAACCAAGACTTACAAAATCTGTCTGTTCTACAGCCTTCCTGGGGTGGGATATCTACCTACCCTGCCCAGAGCTGTAGAACACATGCTGTGGCTTTGCAAATCCAAGTTTGGAACTGGATACTAATTAGAAAGATCACAAACCTGGAAAGGGTTACTTCTCATTCTAGTTCTCACCATCCCACAACTGAACAATGGAAAAAAAAAATGCTAACAACAGTCACTAATGTTCCATCTTGAAATACAAGAAGCACAAACAGAACCTTTAGAAAGAGGTAGAGGTCAGATGTTGCTAGAGGCCATAGATAGCTCCCACACTACTCTACTAACTGATTTGTCAGAATAAACATTAATTTTGGACTTTAAAAAAGCAAGCTGAATAAAGCTCAGATTTGTGTTACTGTTGGCTGACTGGAAGTTCCATCTTCAACATGGGGGAAGGTCATGTGAATCTTTATATTGCCAATTGGTCACAAAGATAGAAAAGGAGCAAGTCAAATGACACTCCCTGCTGAATGTCAGGAATGGCCATTTCAGTGCAGACAAGCTCTAGCTTGTCCCAGTATAGACTTTGTGGGGTAAAAATAAAAGATAGAAATACTGCATAGGAACTCACTTGATCATCTTCCTCTTCAATGTCATCTCGAATACCCCTGGAAAAACAAGCGGAGAAACAAACTTCCCTGCAAATGTTCCACATACCCAGCTCCATACTTATTAGTGTTGAATTCCAAACAGCACAGGAACTCTCAACACTAACCATAGCAAAGCACCAATAAGCACACTATCAACCCATCAAATATGTGTGGTTTTGGTCTGTAAGCTGCAGTTTCTAATTCTTTTGAATGAGACAATATAGTAGCCCTAGAAACATCAATTACTTACAAGGATGTAAAGAGTAAATACTTTCTGAAGATAGATAACAAAGGATCCTAGCTTTGTCAACCCACACAAACACAATGCAGTTGTGAAAAGCATTTCTTTTTAAAAAGAAAAAAAATGACTGTATTTGGTATATACTAGAAAGACTGACAACTTTCTTATTGTTCCCCAACATTTCTATCTTTAGAGTAATTGCTTTTGGCCAAATTCAGTTACCTTAGGGACAGGGATAGAAAGGAAAACTACATTCACTATTTCATGAGTTTGGGACTAAAGTTCCCTAAGCAGGTCACACAAAGAAGGGGCGCACTGCCACTTGCTGCATCTCTCTGGAGCAATAGAAATGTATGGTTGCTTAGTTCCTACAACCATCTCTTTCTAAACAGACTTTCTAACTTGGCGCACTTACTACTCCTAAGGCAACCAGCAAGCAACACCACCAGCATAGGGCAGCTGGGAGAGGATGCAACACACAGTAAGCACCAAAAAGAGGGCTGAACCTCCACATGTCACAGGAACCTTGGGAAAGGCCTGAAACACTGACTGCCAAGCAAAGGGAGAAAAAAGTCCAACCATGCCTGGTAGAAAAAGCCTTAGGAGTAAAACAGCAAAGGAAAGAGAAGACCTCTTTCCCCGAAAATAAGTATTTCAAGTTCCGACTACAATTGCTAAAGCATGTTACACCTTGAATGAAATTCAATTTGATCGCTAGTAACACAGTTTCTGTAATATAATCACTGCTGCGTCTCATAATCAATCAAATAAGCATCAATCTATTTTATATTAATTATGGGAAAAAACCCACAACAATGAATCCAAACTTTCAGTAATTATGCTCCCATAATCACAATGAAATATGTTCCTTGTTTTTACTGAACAACTATTTACAGCTAAAGACCAAACACTATTCTATCAAACAAAACTTTTAATTACTGCAAAGGGAGCATCTTTATTACCTACAGAAATATTCAAGATATGGGATACTCAAGTAAAGACATTTGAACACTTTCATCTCTTTCCTCTAGAAACTGGAGGAATAGGCTCTGCAATATTTTAGCAATTTTAGTGTAACCTCTGTGAGGGAAAAGAAAACAACTTACTTTACGTTTTTTCTTTCCTTGTCCTTTTCTTCAAGTCTTTTCATGTCTCTAGCTGCCTGATCCTAAGGAAACAAAAGGCCATACAGAATGACATTAACTAATGACATTTAAAGAGAGATTAAGAAGAATTTTTTAGATTCAAACCAGTGCAATCGTAGCTCTGGCTTTGTGATTTGACAATTCTATTTCAATATGAATTACAATCTGACAATTATTTTTCAAAGCAAAACAACAGAAAGGCCTACACAATCTGCACATACGTTTTTTACTACGAAAGCAACATGGATTTCATTTGTTTTTAAAAATTTATTTATTTATTTGAAAGTCAGGGTTACACACAGAGAAGAGGCAAAGAGAGATGTCTTCCGTCCACTGGTTCACTGCCCAACTGGCCACAATGGCCAGAGCTGCGGGGATTTGAAGAGCCAGGAGCTTCTTCTGGGTCTCCCATGTGGGTGCAAGGGCCCAAGGACTTGGGCCATCTTCTACTGCTTTCCCAGGCCATAGCAGAGAGCTGGATCAGAAGTGGAGGAGCCGGGACTGAAACCGGCACCCATATGGGACGCTGGCACTGCAGGCAGTGGCTTTACCCGCTATAGAGGCCAGTGCTGTGATGTAGCGGACTAAGCCTCCACCTGCCAGCATCCCATGTTGGCGCAAGTTCGTGTCCTGGCAGTTCTTGTGATCCAGCTCACTGCTATGGCCGGGGAAAGAAGTTCAAGATGGCTCAAGCGCCTGGGCTCCTCTACCCACATGGGAGACCCAGAGGAAGCTCTCGGCTCCTGGCTTCTGATCGGCCCAGCTCTGGCTGTTGCAGCCATTTTAAATAAATAAATAAATAAAATCTTTTTTTTTTTTTAAAAATGTCACTATATATACTATGGCATGGTCATATGTTCTATCAAATCACATGCTTCCTTGCAGCAAAAAAAGAATAATTTTTCTGAAAAAAAAAATATTATACACAATCTACATTTCAGGGGATTGAGTCAGGTGATCATATACCTAAAACTATAAACTGCAGATGGCATAAGCAATATAACATAAGAAACAGGTCACAATACTACTTACAGAATGTATTTTTTAAACCAACATACATTTTTTTAGAACACTGCCTAAAAATAAATCCTCACCTAGTTCAAGCACTGGGAAAGTTAGTATGTTCTAGAAAAGCTGATATCTGAGATCAGAAATTAATGCCAACACTTAGGTAACAATATTCTAAGATCAGACAATAAGCTCTGTCATAAAATAAGCAACCCCCACCCGCCTTGAAACTATACCAAAAAGATACCCAGGAGAATGACTAAACCAGATTTTAACCTCCAAAGAACTTCAACTTTTGAAATGTCAACAAGCAAGAGAATTTGGGCCATTCTCATTCAAAAAAGGCTACTGAAGCTTGGATTACCATAAACTAAATTTAAATGTAGGACATCAAGGGCTGGGTGTACGCACTGTGGCATAGCAGGTTAAGGTACCGCTTGGGACACCAGCATCAGTTTGATGCCCAGATGCTCTGGTTCTGTGCCAGATCCCTGCTAATGCCCTTGAGAAAGCAGTGGAAATTGGCAAATGATTGGCCCCTGCCACCAACATGGCAAATGCAGGTGAAGTTCCTGGCTCTTGGCTCTGGTGTGGCTCAGCCCCAACCACTGCAGCCATCTGGGGAGTGAAACAGTAGATGGAAGACAGCTCTCTGCCATTCCACCTCTTAAATAAATAATTCATTACTAGAGATCTCAAGAAATAATGAGACCACATTGTTTGGAAAATACAGCCCTGTGGGAAATGTCCCTATTTCAAGAAGATAGAGGAAAAATAAAACTGCCTTTACTTCTAGAGTGAATCACTTATTCAGTTTTTTGAAGTTTTATTTATTTGAAAAGCAGAGTTACAGAGAGGCAGAGGCAGAGAGAAAGGCCTTGCATCCTCTGGTTCACTCCCCAGGTGGCCACAATGGCCAGAGTTGTGCCAATGAGAAGCCAGGAGCCGGGAGCTTCTTCTGGGTCTCCCACATGAGTACAAGGGCCCAAGGACTTGGGCCATCTTCTACTGCTTTCCCAGGCCATAGCAGAGAGCTGAATTGGAAGTACAGCAGCCTGGACTCAAATTGGTGCCCATATAGGATGCTGGTACTGCAGGCAGAAGCTTTACCCGCTATGCCACAGCACCAGCTCCGTGAATCATTTATTGTATTTTCCAAATATCTGCTATGATACTATGTCCTAGATAGTTCTGGTAAGTGTTCAGTATAGTAGGATAGGTGGCAGGAATACACAGGGTTAAAAACTCAAGACACAGAATAATACAGCATAAAGAACTTGGGTTTGGAGGTGAATTCAAGTTTTGACTCTGTTATGTCAATACTCCTTTTTTTTGTTTGTTTAAATGTTAAGTGTTTGTTAGTATTGCTTTTTTTTTTTTTTTAAAGCTCTATTTATCAGAGAGAAGGAGAGGAAGAGAGAGAGCAAACTTCCATCCACTGGTTTACTCCCCAATTGGCTGCAAAGACCGGAGCTGTGCCAATCCGAAGCCAGGAGCCAAGGCTTCTTCCAGGTCTCCCATGCAGGTACAGGGGACCAAGACCTTGGGCTATCTTCTACTGCTTTCTCAGGCAATAGCAGAGAGTTGGATCAGAAATGGGGCAGCCGGGACTTGAACCAGCATCCATGTAGGATGCCGGCACTGCAGGCAGTGGCTTTAATAGCTACACCACAGCGCTGGCCCCAGGTATATACTCTTTAACAAGTAACTTGAGTTGCTCTAAATCAATGGCAGGAAACAGTGCTTGATGGGTATCAAGCTGGTAACGAATGAAATCAGCTAGAATAAGAAAAGATGCATGCTTCTGACACAAACACGCTCTGCTTGCACTTCAGTAAGTGGGCATATTCTTCTAAAGAAGCACAGTTTCATTTTTTCTTGTTAGCACCCTATGTCTGATTTCCTAATATTTGATGAAGATTCAAGTTAAAAATATTTCTCCATCATAAGAAAAATCACAAAGCAAGTGTGATGATAAACAGTGGCCTCAACATCAAAAGACAATAATCGGATTGATAGAATAACAGTGAAGGAGGAAAAGCATACTTTGTTTAAAGCAGGCAGCTATTTGCTCAACCACATAAGTATGTAGGCTGGCTTATTATTGAAAGATCTTTTGGGGCCTGTGCTGTGACACAGCAGGTTAATGCCCTGGCCTGAAGTGCCAGCATCCCATATGGGTGCCGGTTCAAGACTCGGCTGCTCTACTTCTGATCCAATTCTCTGCTGTGGCATGGGAAGGCAGTGGAGGGTGGCCCAAGTGCTTGGGCCCCCTGCAACCCCATGGGAGACCCGGAGGAAGCTCCTGGCTCCTGGCTTCGGACTGGCACAGCTCCAGCTGTTGCAGCCAGCTTGGGAGTGAACCAGCAGATGGAAGACCTCTCTCCCTCTCCTCTCTCTGTGTAACTCTGACTTTCAAAAAAAAAAAAAAAAAAACTTTCACTTTCCAACAATCTGAATTTTCAAAGTGCTGAAAGTTGTTTTTTTTTTAGATTTATTCACTTGAAAGGAAGAGTTATACAGAGGAAGAGGCAGAGGCAGAGAGGGAGAAAAGTCTTCGTTCATTTCCCAAATGGCTGCGATGGCCAGGAGCTTCTTCCAGGTCTCATACGTGGGTGTAGGGGCCCAAAGCCGGGTCATCTTCCACTGCTTTCCCAGGCTGCATTAGCACGGAGCTGAATGTGAAATGAAGCTGCCAGGTCTCCAACCAGCGCCCATATAAAACACCAGTGCTGCAGGCAGAGGCATAACCCACTATGTTACAGTGCCGGCTCCAGTTCTGATGCTGGTGCGCTGTGCCAATCTGAAGCCAGGAGCCAGGTGCTTCCTCCTGGTCTCCCATACAGGTGCAGGGCCCAAGGACTTGGGCCATCTTCCACTGCCTTCCCGGGCTACAGCAGAGAGCTGGACTGGAAGAGGAGCAACCGGGACAGAATCCGGCACCCCAACCGGGACTAGAACTTGGGGTGCCGGTGCCGCAGGCGGAGGATTAGCCAAGTGAGCAGCAGTGCTGGCCGGATGTGAGAATCTTAAACCAGCATCTGAACATCTATACATCTATCTGTGTCAACCACGAAACCCATTCCATATATATATATATTTTTTTTTTTTTTTTTTGACAGGCAGAGTGGACAGTGAGAGAGAGAGAGAAAGGTCTTCCTTTTCCATTGGTTCACCCCCCAATGGCCAGTGTGGCTGGCATGCTGCGGCCAGTGCACCGCACTGATCTAAAGCCAGGAGCCAGGTGCTTCTCCCAGTCTCCCATGGGGTGCAGGGCCCAAGGACTTGGGCCATCCTCCACTGTACTCCCAGGCCACAGCAGAGAGCTGGACTGGAAGAGGGGCAACTGGGACAGAATCCGGCGCCCCAACCGGGACTAGGACCCAGTGTGCCAGCGCCGCAGGCGGAGGATTAGCCTATTGAGCCACGGCACCGGCCACCATTCCATATTTTTTTAAAAGCAATGCCTAAGGGCTGGTGCTGTGACTGCCTCCACCTGCAGTGCTGGAATCCCATATGAGTGCTGGTTCTTGCCCCAGCTACTCCACTTTTTTTTTTTTTTTAATTATTTTATTTATTTGAAAGAGTTACAGAGAAAGGTAGAGACAGACAGAGAGAGGTCTTCCATTCCACTGATTCACTCCCCAAATGACTGCAACGGCCAGAGCTGAGCTGATCCGAAGCCAGGAGCCAGGAGCTTCTTCCAGGTCTCCTACCTGGTTGCAGGGGCCCAAGGACTTGGGCCATCTTCTACTGTTTCCCAGGCTATAGCAGAGAGCTGGACCAGAAGAGGAGCATCCAAGACTCAAGCCAGTGCCAATATGGGATGCAGGCGCTGCAGGCTGGGGCTTTAACCCACTGTGCCATAGCACTAGCCCTGCTACTCTACTTCTGATCCAGCTCCCTGCTAATGTGCCTGGGAGAGCAATGTAAGATGGCCCAAGTTGCTTGGGCCCCTGCACCCAAGCAGGAGACTTGGAAGAAGCTTCCAGCTTCAGACTGGCCCAGCTCTGGC